CCGAGATCAACAGTCTCATGCTCTGCCGACTGACTGTTGGGAGATTTGGGATAGATAAAAAGAAAGGACTTGTTCACACAGTGCATACTTAAAGTTATTAAACTTGCTCCCACAGGAGGCGCTGATGGTCAGCCATGGCTTTAAAAGAGGAATGGGCAGATTTATGGAGAATAAGGCTACTAGCCATGATGGATCTGCTCTGCCTCCGCAGCTGGAGGCAGTAGCAAGGATTTTGAGGACCAGTTGCTGGAAACCGCAAGAAGTGAGGGGGCTTGCAGGTTTCTTACAGGCGTTACAAATATGGCTTTGCCTTGCATGTGCAAGGTTGCAAGTGGGGAGGTTCTCCTGCTGCTAAAAGGACATCTCCCCCACCTTAACTGGTGCTTTGGGGCTATAGCAGCAAAGACACTCACTGCTTTGACGTTGGAGATAGAGATAGGTGCCCTCCACCTCCATCAGCTCCAGTCTCCTACAGCTATGCTGGGAGGGGCAGTTGTAGTCCAAAATGCCTGGGGCGCCCCAGTTTGTGGAAGGGCAGTACTAAGGGACGGTTCCCTCCCTTCCAACTCTTTCTTCAGGTTCTCATTAACACTTGAACTGTGCAAGGATGGATTACTGGCTGAAGTGTGTTAGGCTAAGCTGGATAAGTGTCCCTGTGACTAAACCTTGGCTTGCACACTTCTTGTTGCTTATGACGGGCCAAATTGCTCCTAATTCGTCCTGATGGTGGCGGGGAGAGAGAGGGCGCGAGGCCAGGGTGAACATAGTTGTGCCTTCTCAATGTCCAAACTGTAAAAGCATTTCCTCTGGACTCTTTCCTTCCAAATGCCACTGGCTTTCTAACTTGAGCAGCGGTGCAGGCTGCTTTCCATCCCGTTTGAAGGCAGATTTCAGGCAACACGGGGGGAAGGTTTTGACCCCAAAGGAGCATGCCTCGGATTGTTGTGGCCGTGTGTCACCCGGCAGGTTAAGTTTACAGCGTGTCGTGCAATTGCCTTATTTGTATTGGACGAGGGAAAACAAACGAGGCAGGAGACGGGAGAGCTGTCTGGTATGTTCTTGATGCGCCCCAAACTACAAATAGCCCACAGTGGCGGGGTTGGGGGGGTGGAGGAGGAGGCATGGGGCATCTCAGCCACCAGCGTAGTGCTACTTTTAAAATGATAAATATCACGTCTGTAACCTCCTATAATTTTAGGTCACCCGCAAGCATGGCCTGAATTCCTAGCATGGGGGCAGGTATAAAATTAGAGGATTTATTTTCAGATTGTGGCCGCTCTGTTGGGGGTCTTGAATGTGGGGCTTTTCAGAAAGCTGCACTCTGATCAAGGTTGGCCCTCAGTGATTTTGTTGTCAAATCCTGGGAGGTTTAATATGGCAATAAATCTGCAAAAAAAAGTGGGGGGTTTTCCCCAAGCATCTTGTATTAAAAAAACAACCACAACTTTTCTCCCTGTGTGCAGCACTTTAAAATGGACAAACTGCATCTTAGCATGAATTGCGATTGTTGGAGTAGTTGAGAGTAGGAACCCATCGCTAGTTCCTGTCTTTGCAATGATCATATTGTTTCCTTTTTTCTTTTTTGTATTTATACCTCACCTTTTCCTTCTAAGGATCTCAAAGTGGCAGACATGGTTCTCCTCATTTCACTCCCACAACAACCCTGTGAGGTAGGTTAGGCTGAGATGGGGTTGCCATATATACGGCATTTCCTGGACATAGCCAGAATACTGCAGTTGGAAGCAGTGTCTGGGTGGAAATCGCTAAAATGTCCAGGAAAATCCAGATGTATGCAACCAATGTCAGAAGTCTAGATTTTAGCGATTTTCCAGAAAAATGGCTCAAAAACTTCTTTTTTGAGATTTTGGGGGGGAAAAAGCTAAACAACTTTGGGCAATTAAAAAATCAACAACTTTTGTGTTCAGATTTTCACTTTTTGAAATACAGTGGTACCTCGAGTTAAGAACTTAATTCGTTCCGGAGGTCCGTTCTTAACCTGAAACTGTTCTTAACCTGAAGCACCACTTTAGCTAATGGGGCCCCCTGCTGCCGCCGCCGCACAATTTCTGTTCTCATCCTGAAGCAAAGTTCTTAACCCGAGGTATTATCTCTGGGTTAGCAGAGTCTGTAACCTGAAGCATCTGTAACCTGAAGCATCTGTAACCCGAGGTACCACTGTATTGCAAAATTAGGCTGCGAGGTGTTGACGGGCCCAAGGTCACCCAGTTGAGAGCGTCATTGCTGAGTTGGGATTTGAACTCTGGTCTCCCAGATCCTCATCTAACATTCTAACCACTATACCATACTGGTTCTAGCAAGAGGATTCTGTGAGTGCTCCCGTGGTTTTTTGGGCCAGGCTTATCATGCATTATACACCTCGTCTAGACACCTCTTGCTGGCACCAGTCTCTGCTTGTGCAAATAAATGGTTAGCAGCCTTTATGGCACAGAGCTGCTGGCTATTCCTGTGCTCAGAACAGGAACTGTTTGGTGGCACTAAGAGATCTTGGAACATTCAGAGGGTTTGCAGCGATGGCTTTGTAGCTCGTAAAGAACTCCAACCTCCCCCCATCCCAGCGGATTCTCTTGTCTCCTCCTATTGCACAGACCTATGTGTGCAATCACATGCTAGAATCATAGAATTGTAGAGTCGATGGGACCCCAGGGGCCATCTAGTTCAACCTGCTGCAGCGCAGGAATCACAGCTAAAGTATGAATGAGAACCGGCCCACCTGTGTACAGAATCTTGCGGCAACTGAAGTGGATGCTCTCAAGGCAAAGCATCGTGAGGCTTAGATGCAACAGACGGGCCCTGATAAGTCAGTTATGATCTAAGCTGTTCCCTGGGGTCTTGTCTCATTTTGCTAATGGCTTCATATTTTAGATTTCAGCTCCATATGTGACTTTAATTCTTCTGCATCAGCCTTCCCTAAGCAGCCAGCATGACCAGATGGAGCAAGCCTGTTTTCTGCTTCTCCAGAGGCTAGGGCCCGTACCAGTGAATTCAAATGACAAGGAAGAAAATTATGACTAAACATTAGGAAGAACCTCCTTGATGATAAGAACTGTTTGACAGTGGAATGGACCACGACTCTCCTTCCTTGGAAGGTTTTAATCAGAGGTTGCATGGACATCTGTCAGGTTTTATTTAGCAGTGATTCCTGTATTGCAGGGGGTTATGGTAGATGGCCCTTGGTAAAGGTAAAGGGACCCCTGACCATTAGGTGCAGTCGTGACCGGCTCTGGGGTTGCGGCGCTCATCTCGCTTTATTGGCTGAGGGAGCCGGTGTACAGCTTCCGGGTCATGTGGCCAGCATGACTAAGCCGCTTCTGGCGAACCAGAGCAGCGCACGGAAACGCCGTTTACCTTCCCACTGGAGCGGTACCTATTTATCTACTTGCACTTTGACTTGCTTTCGAACTGCTAAGTTGGCAGGAGCAGGGACCGAGCAACGGGAGCTCACCCTGTTGCGGGGATTCGAACCACCAACCTTCTGATTGGCAAGTCCTAGGCTCTGTGGTTTAACCCATAGTGCCACCTGCTGTGACCCTTGATACCTCTTCCAATTCTATGATTCACAGAGTCACTCCCTCTGTGACTCCTCTCCTTTGTCAGAAGCTCTCTAGCTGTGTGGAGATCCTGGTAGGGAGAGTGCCCAGGTGGAAGGGCCTCTTAAGAGCTAAACTCCTGCCTGCCTGCAGCGTCTGTTCCCCGTCCCCCAGACATTAAGCTTCTTCATTGAGATTCTTTCCTGAGCACACATGGAAGGATCCTTTCTAACTGCAGTGTGGGAAAAAATGGGTTTCTTTTCCCATGGTAAACAACCCTGATGAGATAGGCCATCAGATCTTGTGGAAAGCGTTATCTTTAGGAGGCAGACTCGCATGACATTTGACCCTTTGGAAAGAGAAGCTGCAGCCCAGCAAGGACTATGCATTTGCTCTGCATGCAGATGGTCCCCTTCATGCTGCCTTGTAGCCCAACACATCTGGAGGGCATCAGGCTGGGTTACATCAATGCCAATTCTAGCCAGCTGGCAGTCTTACCGCAATGGGTCCTATTGCAATCCAAGTAGGGTTATTGTCTGGAGCAGGGGACTGGCTTGCAATCTTTCTGCATCTTCTTTTTCCCCCACATAAAACTATTATTCCCATTGGGTACTCTGAAAAAAATTGTTTCCCTCCCTCCCCGTTAAAAGCCTCTTTTTGGGGTGGGGTAGGGTCAGGACCCAGTCACCCATCCTTTTAAGAGCATAAGAAAAGCTGCCTGGATTGGGCCATCTCATCTAGGATCTAGGTTTCCCTGTGGGAAACGCACAAAAGCCCTCTCCCCTCCTATGGTTTCCAGCAATCGGTATTTTGAAGCATATTTGCTGCCAACTCTGGCAACAGCTTCCCCTCTGCCAACAGCTTCCCCAGCTAGTAGCCATCGATAGCTCTCTCCTCCATGAATTTGTCTAATTCTCTTTTAAAGCCATCTCAATTGGTGGCCACCCACTGCCACTTCCAGGACTGAGTTGCAGAGTTTAACCATGTGCTGTATGAATAAGTCCTTCCTTTTAATTTCCCCTGAGCCTCATGGGCGTAGTCACAATTTGTAGGGGAGGAGAAAGCTTTTTTGGGGGGGGGGGAGAACCTTAGATTTGTATTGATTTATATTGATGGGGGGGGGCAACTGCCCCCCTTGGCTAAGCCCATCCTGGGCCTTAACTATCTATAGCACCTGCACCATGGGCCTCTGGCTGGTGCGCTTTCAGGACCCAGGAAAGCCTTCCCTGCAAGGATGGCCATACAGGCCACACAACCAGGCCTGCTCAGCTTCAGCAACGTTAGTGGGGGTGGGAGATCTCTTTGGCAAATTTATTTATTTGTTATCATTTTATAATGTATATAAAACAGACAAAAAATAAAGATGAAAAAACAAAACTATAAAATGGGCACGTAGAATGAGTTGGACATGAGTTAAAATAGCAAGGTCTAAGAAAAGATTGTCAACTTTACCAGATCAAGTATAGTTAGCAACGGGAGCGTTCGATGCGCCATTGATTCCTGGCCATTTCGCCCGCGCGATGCCAGGCGCGGAGGGCAGCCTGACCTGACTCCCACCCGGGCGGCTGTAGCTGCCGTTCCTCCAGCGCAGGGTCCGCGCGGCCCTTTTTAAAGCTGCACGGCCTCCCGCCTCCTCCCCGCCTAGGGGGCGTGGCCCCACAGGCACCTGGCCAGCCCCGCCCCTCTCCCGACCCAGGTGCGGAGTCCTCGCTCAGGGAGCCGCTTGCCGAAGGAGACCAAGGAAGTCCCGCCCTTCCCCCGGGGATCCGCCTCCCCAATGGCTGCAGCGGGGGCCTGGCCGTCTCCCATTGGCCGGGTGTGGGTGGAGGGGCGGGGCGAGGAAAGGGGCGCCGGCGCCGAGCGTCGTCCCGTCCCGAAGTCTGAGGGGCAGCGGCGGCGGCGGCAGTAACATCATGAAGAGCCTCAAGTCCCGCCTGAGGAAGCAGGAAGTGTCAGTGGCGGGAGGCGGTGGCAGCCTCGGGGGGGTGAGTGGCTGGGGGGGTGGGCCAGGTGAGGAGGGGGCGAGAGTGAGGGGGCAGCCTCAGGCCAAGGGAGGGGGAGGGGCAGCCTCAGGGCAAGTGGGGGTGAGGGGTAGAGGGGTGGAAAGGGAAAGTGGGGAGAACTGGGGGGGGGCTCTGGCATGCAGCTCCCGCCTTTCCAGGGGATACAGCGAGGGAGGTAGTTGGAGGGTCGTCTGGAGGAGGGAGGGAAATGGGGTAATGTGTGACCCACAAAACGGAATGGGGGGAGGGACAATAGGAGCAGCAGCAAAGTCACGCTCTTCCTTGTTTTGACATATTTTTCTCAAAGCCCCCGCCCTCGCCCTCTTTTTTTTTTTTTGTGGGGGAGGATGGAGATCCAAATCCCGAGGTAGGAAAGTTTTCGCCCTTAATCCAGTTGCCACAGATCGATCTCCTCCCTCCCTCCCTCCCTCTCTCCCTCACTGTTGCATGGGTTGCACTTTCCAGGGCAACGTAAGCTCTGCATTTGTTGTCACACACACACAAATAAAAAGCTGAATGAGTTTGGCCCTCCTCCTGATGCTGGTGCTGGCAGAATTTACGTGCAGTTGACAAGGCCTCCCCTGCATAGCGATCCTCTGCACTTGCTGAGCAAAGCTGAAATAGGAGCACCCAGGAAATGTTCTGTGAGAGCAAAAGAGATGGAAAGCTGCGTGTCATGTTTTTGAAAATAAGTTCATCTGGGAAACTGTTCAGCCGCTCCCGAAGTGAACTAAAAGGCTTCTTGCTTAAACTGCTTCCCTTGGAAGTGAGTTGTTGAACACTTTGTGCATTCAATTTCCCCCCTGAAAATGTGTTAAGAACTTTTTTAAAAAATATGGATACAGGCATGATGAACATTATCTTAATTAAGTTTGACATGACTTCACAAAAGATGAAGATTTATTGTATCTCAGCCCAAAGTGTGTTGCTGTCATCCATCTGTCTCAAGAGACAGTGGAGTGTGTTCCTGGGGGTGAAGCCAAACTGTTGCAGTAGTGTGTATGGTTGGAAATAAGTTTCATTGCTTCCAGCCAGACATACTTCCAACTATATAGATTTGGGACAACAGCCATAAAATGATTAATTATGCTTTATTTGAATATACATTGGAAAGGGCCCTGTTCACTTATGGTAAGTTGTTTATTTGGTCCTCAAACTTTTTTCAGCCAAAACAAAAAAAAAATCCTTCCAGTAGCACCTTAAAGACCAACTAAGTTAGTTCTTGGTATGAGCTTTCGTGTGCATGCACACTTCTTCAGATACAGATAGTGTGTATCTGAAGAAGTGTGCATGCACACGAAAGCTCATACCAAGAACTAACTTAGTTGGTCTTTAAGGTGCTACTGGAAGGAATTTTTTTTGTTTTGACTATGGCAGACCAACATGACTACCTATCTGTAACTTTTTTCAGCCAACCACTTAAGAAACTTTATTTTTGTTCTGTAAAGCAAAGCACATGTTTAACTAGTATTTTAATAACCATAGTATTGTCTTTTCTAATGTGATGAATGTACCTGTTCTTGTGAACAAAAGTTATTTGAAGTTGGGTTTGTCAGTTGCAACATTTTTCCTGTTTCTGTATTTAGACTTGAGGTGGAGTGATGAAAATCCCATATTGCGCTAGTGCTGTTGTATGAAAATCATGGGCCATAGCCTGTTTAGTAATCTGGTCCCAGTTCTAAATGGTCTTGTCAGTCATCAAAAAAGAAGAAGAAGAAATCCAGTTGTTCCACAGCTTTTCCCAGGACCACCTAAAGGGAGCTTGCAGTTCACCAGTGGTCTGTGACCACTGTTTGAGAACCTCTAATGTGTCTGATCCACAGGCCTGAATCCATTTGTGTGCCTATTACTTCACATTAACATGTGTGGGAAGTGAAGTAAGCAGGCAGGTGAGGCAAACCTTGATGACTTCAGGGCAAGAACTGGAATTTCACGGTAGAGTTGTGTACCTGTTAATGACTTTGGTTGTCATCACAGTGACAAGACTCTGAGATACTTGACGAGATACATGCTAAATTAGTCATCTTTAATTTGGCATGTCGGAAAACCACACTCTTGTTACCAGGAAGGGAGGCACCTCAGGGTGAAATCACATGGGAAGAGATTGAGGTTATGTGTTGTGTTGGGGTCTGAGAGGAAGGGGCTGAATAATTTGTTTGAGGACTTTGTTGTTTTTTTGCTTTGATTGCATGACAGATAATCTATAATTTTTCCTTCATGCTCCATAACTGTGGAGTGCATCTCCCCTCCTCCAGTATTTTTCATTAGCTGCTTCTGGTGGCTGTCACACACCTTTAGTGTGCTGTGTTTGGTTTCAGTCTCTCCTTCAGTAAAATCTTCTCAAATTGTTGGTAGTCTTTGACCAATCCCCAGAAAATGATTCTCCCATCCATCATTGGAACAGCTTGATGCTGAGGCTTTGGAGCTGCTCATGTCACAGGGGAACTTTGCAGCTCTGTTGCTTTCTTGCTGTGAGGCAGCACATAAGTCCATGTCTAAACTCAGTTCTTTTTCCCTGCTGCTCTTATAAAATAGGAATAGAGCAACCTCTCTCACAAACTTGATGAAGTGCATGCATTTCTCTTGCAAAAGGTGTTATATGACCTGCGGGTATATGGCAGTATATAACTTCAATAAATAATAATAAGTAATAATAATATGGAAATGAATGAAGGTGTGAAAATGGAACAAGGTGTATTGCCTCTGTACTGAAGTGCATTCATAATTAGAACATGTTTTTGCTTCTTGGTGTTATGGATTGTTAATATATGGGAGAAAAAGTGGTATTGGGAACCTTAACATTGGGCTGACTGTGATTGTGAAAGCAACAGTAGAGCTGAGCAAGCTACCCCCCCCCCCCGACAACATGTTTTTTAGATTAAGACTTATGCATATACATGCTAAGTTAAAATGAGGTATAAAACATATCAATCTCTATACTGAGGCAGAACTTTAAATGTTCATCAGATTATGGTTAGAGTAAAATAAAGCCACTTGTGCACCCTTGACCAAATCCCTCTATGGAAGGTGATGAATGGCTTTTGGCAAGCTGTTGAAATTTGTGACTTTTAGAGTGAGTCAATAAATATGGTAGAGGGAAGAACTTTCTAACCTGCTCAGGGACCCTTAGGGTGAAGAGTGGATAATAAATTAAAAGAACTTGTGTACACACAAACTCATTCTTTAGAGGCAGCTCATTTTTTAAAGATTTTGCCAGACTTATTTTGCTATGGAACCTGTTGGTCAAGGCTGTTTTGACACATTCATGCCCCCTGAACCATAGCTATGTAGACTCCAAATGGGTGGAATCTCCTTTGCCCATTATTAGCTTACCTGACCACATACAACAATCATTAGTGCTGTGTCAGCTGTTTGGAAGAACAAATTCTTATTTACAAAAACTCATTTGCTTTGTTGTCTGGAAATTATTGCTGCTTGCCAAAGGCATCCAGACCAATGTAAGCCAGTACTGTAGACATACAACCTGTACCATGAAATTAGACATTGTCTCAGCATTCTTTTCTTCAAACTTATCTCCTGTTTTGATTCAAATGTCAAAAATATGAGCGCTTAAGGAGGGTTTTCCTTGAGGCGTTTGTGGCACATTTTTGTGTGTGTATGCATGTTTTGCACATGAAATAGTGCTAAGGTTGTGCCCATTGTGTGTTTGTGAGAACACACATTTTGGATGTGTAAAGTGAGAAGATGAGGTGTGTAGGAAGTGCTTGGGTTTTGTCGCATTAGGAAGGTAATTCACTTATTTCGTAACATCTCAAGTCAAGCAACTCTTGCTCTCAGCCTACTTAGGGATTTGGAATAGGCTGCAAACCAAGGAATAAAGTTGGCTAGCTACACCTGTTTTGGCTAAAATGGATCCCCTCAAAAGGAAGGCGCACAGGGAAAAATTCAGAACTGTCATAAACTATATAAATGGCTTGTAACTGATTTCATGAGGGCTAATGATTGACGTTGAGATTCATGCAGGCAGAACTCAGAGCTTTGCCCATTGAGATGGTTGCTGAAGATCTGCATATACTCAGGACAGTGAAAGATGAAGTGTTGTGTGTTTAGGCCAGAAATGAGGAACACAGAGAACAAATTCGAGGAGGACAGTTTCCTCCTAGAATATGCCAGCAACTCAGAGAAATGTAGCCTCTTCATCGCAATCGGACTTGGCAGTATCTGACTGCACACTGAAGTTAACCTTTCTGTCAGTTGCTGAACTTTGCTCCAAATGAGGATCTTTCTGGGCAGTTTTTTTTTAATCACAACTGGATTTTGCCCCATGAATTGTATCTTGTGGAAAAGTACTTTTTGAGACCCATGACTCCACCCGCCTGATACAGCCTTTACACAGCAGCAGAAGCAAGGAGGGGCTCTTGCTGTGTGAGTTTTCCATTTCATTGATCAGACTTTGGCTATTGCATGCTACAATTTCTGCTGTGCCTGGATTAATTACTGCTCATAAGCTTGCATCACTCATTAATTAGCAACGTTGAGGCAATCCGAGGTCATCCTGTGTCTGTAGTCATAGAAAGCCAGGCCCAGTTTGTAACTATGGGAATGCTGTTATTACCTCCTCTTTTTGAAACAAAGATTCCCATGCTGATGTTTCTGTATTCCTTGAATTTAAAAGCAGCCTTCACATTTGCTGGCATGCTTCCTCCATGACGATATAAATATAATGTAACTGAGAAATGGGCAGTTTAGGTTTGGTTTGCCAGATTTGCTACTTGCCT